CACATCGTACGAAACGAAGAAGAACTGCAATAACATGTAATTTTAACATTCTATACACAAAAGAAAGAAATTTTTAACATTATGTATACACAGCATGGAGCATCGCAAGATGCATTTATTGGGCAGACGTTACGATCTGACGACTACGGGCTACAAATCTTTGGAAATTGGAATCAACGTTGGTCCACTGAGTTACATGGAGATTACTCTGAGAGATCATCGTGGACATAAACTGCTGCTGTCTCTCGAAACGTGGAAGGGTCTCTACGAGCAGCGATGGAATATTTACAAGATGCTGCGAAACGAATACAAGGACAATTGTGTTGGACCGCTAACTGTCAGCGTTTGCATGCTGAACGATGCTACGCTGGTACGTTTCAATTCTTCGTCCGTACGCATGATGATGACCGAAACGACACTACGACGTATGTTGAGTTTGACGAATGTATCGATGTAACGTTCGAACGATTAACCTGACTCGTCGATACGGTTGATGTCAAGTATACGCGATTCTCCAACATCGCGTCCAAAAACGCTATACGCGATAGTGATATCTTTAACAAACATCAGCTCGTCGATTGTGAGCTATTGGCTTTAGTTTTTAATATGTAAAAAAAAAAAAGAAATGATGTAATAATATGTGAATAAAAAATTTTTTTTGTTCATATCATTATATATATGTACTTCCCATCCGTCTATTCATCCATCCATCCATTCATCCTATATCTCGACGCGCTATAGCGATAACTTTTCGTGACGGCACTTATGATCTAAAGTGTTTTATATACAACTGCCCCCCTATAGATCCTAGGCAGGCTCGCTTCTCAACGGCGAAGGTCGGTATTTTTTTTTTATTATATAGTTTTTTCTTTCTTTTTTCTTTAATATTTCTTGTTCGCGTTATAATATTGCTACGCATTTAGGAGTGGACTCCGCAGTGACTGTCTGAAACGCATTTGTTGGGATAGACGCGAGGTCTGTGGTGATGGCCCGAAACGCACTTTAGGATGGACGCGGAGTCTGCGGCGGCGGCGGGCCCAATAATACGTGACACCCCAACATGGCGATACGTATCATCATATCAGTAAACACCACATAGCGCCGGGACTTCCCGCGCCTCCCCTCCCTTCCCCGCGTCTATCAGTACTCCCCGCGCCTACTCCCCGCGCCTATGAGTATCCCCGCGCCCCGCGCCCCCCTCAGAGGACCTGGGTTAGAACCGCCACTATTATACTACTCCCAATCAAATTCATGAAATGAGTCCATACGATGTTGTGTGATAACCGAATGTTGAGTCGTGTTTCTGTTAATATGATTCCTATGTTCACTTATGCACGTTTTAAGGCATCTGCTTGTTTGTCCAACATATGACGCATCACAGTCCTTGCAGTCAATCTTATATACAACATTAGATTGAGAAGATTGAGGTAACACATCTTTCTGGACTTTAATAAATTTATTAAGCTTATTTATGCCTCTATAGCTCATACGTATAAAAGGTACATATTTTAAAAAATTACTGATTTTATTAAGAATAATTAGTATAAAGAAAAATATTTATTATTGATTTCTGCTTGGGTTATTTATTAGTAACAAAATCGTCAATACGATTAAAAAGATCGAATTTATTGTAAAATCTTTTTTTAATAGTTAAAAATATCAAGCTTAATGAATAACCATTTGTCACGAGTGCTAATTGCACAAGCGACAATTGCGCCGCGCAATTACGTGCCAGAAATATAAACGATTAAATAAATGATTGCCGAAACCTATTTATTAAATATACTTAAAGATACTTTTTAATAATTAATATAAAAGAAGACCTTGAGCGAATATAAATTTTAACTTAAGAAACGCGGACTCAGAAGTTGCATGGAAGCTGTCCTTGTTCGGTAAGCGGAATGCTAACGGACCAACGCGGAAGAGCAAAGGCTACCGCGAAAATCAAGATACGTATTATATATATAAGCGCGGCTACGAATGTGGTCATTGGTCAGAAATTTAAAAGAAACTTATCGCATTACTTTGCCCGTCGTTTAAATGTAAATGTAGTAGTCTTTACCGTGACGCGAATAGTGCTAAGAGGAATTGTATTATAATAAGATAACCACTGGTGTTATGTGTAAAGCTAAATATATTCTATTTAAAAATCTATAAAGCTGTCTAATCTCATCTCCTGAAGTTCTTTATGGATCTGCAAATCGTGCCGTCAAATACCGGCACATTATTCAAAAGAATTTTTATAATTAAGTCAAAATTCTTTTTATGAAAACTTGGATGAGGAAGTAATAAAATTCTATATTCAATTAAACCAATAATCATGTCAATTTTTTGACAGAGTGGATGCTATGAAAAGTAATTGAGAAAACGATCCGAGAATGTAGATTTAAGATACCAATCAAAAATAAGAGTCTCCTCTTTTTTTATCAAGCAAATGTCCAAGAAGTTTAATGAGTCTCCACCAATTTCCATTGTAAATTGTAGTCTGGGGTGATAAGAATTAAATTTAATAAGGATCGCATCAATTTGAGCATTGTCAATAGCTAAAGCAATGTCATCAACATATCGTACATAAAATATCTTATAAAAAAAATTGGTATAGGTATTTTATAAAAAAAATTGACATCTTAAAAATGGAATTTTTTAAAGCACTAAAATTAGTTGTGGATTCTACTTTTTTCAAGTTCAATGACAAATTTTATAGACAAACCTTTGATTTACCCATGGGCTTTCCACTATCTCCCATACTTGCTGATATAGTCATGCAGAACTTAAAGTCAGTTTCGTTAAATAAACTTTCTGTGACACCATTATTTTATGTATGATATGTTGACGACATTGCTTTAACTATTAACAATGCTCAAATTGATGAGATTCTTATTAAATTTAATTCTTACCACCCCAGACTACAATTTACAATGGAAATTGATGATAAATGGAGACTCATTAAACTTCTTGGACATTTGCTTGATAAAAAAAGAGGAGACTCTTATTTTTGATTGGTATCGTAAACCTACATTCTCGGGTCGTTTTTTTCAATTACTTCTCATGGCATCCACTCTGTCAAAAAATTGACACGATTATTGGTTTGATTGATAAAGTTTTATTACTTTCTCATCTAAGTTTCTATGAAAAAAATTTTGATTTAATTATAAAAATTCTTCTATATATGGTTATCCTCTAAGTTTGATATTTCCAATTATTAAAAAAAGACTTTACAATAAATTCCATCTTTTTAATCGTATTGACGATTTTGTTACTGATAAACAATTAACAACCCAAGAAAAAATCAATAATAAAAAATTTTCTCTATACCATTTATTCCTAATATTTCTAATAAAATCAGTAATTTCTTAAAACATGTACCTTTTATACGTATAGGCTATAAAAGCATAAATAAGCTTAATAAATTTATTAAAGTCCAGAAAGGTGTGCTACCTCAATCTTCTCAATTTAATATTGTATATTGAGATTGACTGCAAGGATGTGTCGTATGTTGGACAAACAAGCAGTTGTGTGTGTGTGTGTGTGTGTGTGTGTGTGTGGGGCGCGCGCGCGCGCGCTCGCGCGCATGTATTATTAAGATTTATTTGTAACAAAAATATAAAATTATATTTAAATAACTATACACAGCAATTTTAGAATAAAAAATATGTATATGAAAATGATAACATACCCAGACATCAGCTCTTGGACCATCATAATGTTTTCCTTCAAAAATTTCAGGTGCAGCATATGGTGGTGAACCACACCATGTACTAAGTGGAACATCAGGTGTATATTCATTATTAAAGCCAAAATCAGCAATTTTTATATTATTGTCTGCATCAAGTAACAAATTTTGTTGATTGTATGCCGTTAGTCCCACTATATGTATATCACGTGTTCTTGTTTATTATTATATCAGTTACCTGACAGATGGCGTGAGCACCCTTCTCGTACTAACCTAACCTTTTATTTATTATTGTTCGCACACGCCAGAAACCAAGCTCTGTCTTTTTTATCTTATTCAGCAACAAAAATCCCAATAAGTTATGGGCCCAGGAGTGTGAACAGCTATAATAATAATAAAAAAAAAAGGAGAGTGATAGTGTGCAAGGAAGACAGAAGTCCAAGTAACATCGCTTGAATCTGCAAGGATGGAAATAAACTTGAAGTCTGTTACGCAACTGAACTCAAGCAGTTACGTTCGTTGGCGTTTTGAAATTCAGGCTCATCTCGAAGCAAACGATGTGTTTGATGTGGCTGATGGATCGAGAGAGCAACCAACGGATGCCACACTGGCTGATTGGAAAAAGAAGGACGCCTTGGCGAGGTCTTTGTTAAGTAAATCTCTCGATGATGCACATTTTAATTTGGTGGTCGCCTGTAAATCATCCGCTGATATGTGGAAGACTCTCGTGGGACATTATGACGAGGTTTCAAACACGACGAAGCTAGCTGCATTGGAAGCATACAACGACTATCACTGGAAAGACGATATGACTGTG